GTTCTTGTCAAATAGATCTTTCACTTCCTTGGTCAGGGTTACCCCAAGATATTTTATGCTTTTTGTGGCTATCGTGAAAGGTGATGCTTCTCTGATTTCCCTCTCTGTTTCTTTATCCTTAGTGTATAGGAAGGCAACTGATTTTTTTGGAGTTGATCTTGTATCCTGCCACATTATTAAAGGTGTTTATCAGCTGTAGGAGTTCTTTGGTTGAGTTTTTGGGGTCGCTTATGTATACTATCATATCATCTGCAAATAACAAAAGCTTAACTTCTTCCTTTCCAATACGAATCCCCTTGATCCCCTTATGTTGTCTTATTGCTATTGCTAGAACTTCAAGCACTGCATAAATATTTCTTAATATTTTGTTTGATGTTACCTTTCATTCAGCTTGTTTAAGGATTTCTGCACCTTGAAATGTTCCTATGTTGGTATCAAGGAATTATGTATTACAAGCGAACTATTTCTCAACATTTGGAAGCTTGGGTTCTGCCAGTGTCTTACTCAATGCTTCAATACCACTCAAGATATTGCCGAGTGAAAATTGGTAGAAGAAAGTGTACAACATCAAAATAAGCTTCAACATCTCTTACTTTATTTAGAAATTAATTTGTTGATCTAGGTGTCTATATTTACCCCTTTAGAACTTTAAAGTAAGATTTTTTTAAATAGATCATTAGAAGAGTATATTAAAAACAATAATAGGACATGTGCCTAAATTTACAATTTCAAAATGAGCTTTTCAGGTTCTGGTCTCTTGCTGCCTTTTTTCCTTTCTTATGTCTCCATTTTCAGGAGTAAATTACATATTCTTGTGGAAAAACCAAGACATCTTTATATGATATCATATCATGGCCCTTCTGTTAGTTCTCCAGTCTGTCAGTATTGAGAACTGTCTGTTTCAACAGACAGTTTGTCTATAAATTGTTTTAGAAGCAAGCTGTATAAGCAGACAGAATTCTATTAAATATACAGCCAAGACTTTTATTCTCTTTGCGAGCTTCAATATTATCTATCTAGCTTTAGATATCACCTGTAAGTTTTCCTAGTGTTTAATATTTGGCCCTATTAATGCATATCTAAAATATATAGACACGAAAAGTAATATAACAAATAGTAATTTGACTTGGATTGACACTAGGGTAATGACTTCCATCCAACTGCTGCCTTGTGTAACCCCCAAAAATGTCTGTACACATACCCTTCCCCAAATGCTAACATCCATGCTGTGTTGTCCTTACAGTTTCCGGCTGTTAACCATCCTCAGTCATTAGAGAGAAGGTACCTTGGAATCTTAAATAGTGTTTTACTTGACCTCATGAAGGTAAGAAAAGTCAATTTTTCTATAAAAAGAAGTCCTTTGGTCGTCTGCCTACTTGGGACCATAGCCTACTTTTATGAATTAAATGTTTTGTTAGTAGATGATTAATGGGGAGTATGTCGTTTAAAAGGCATGTAATTTGTTTATAATTGCAACAGGAATCTGGTGTTGTCTCAGTCCATCCAGAGAGGAGCATGTAATCCCTAAATTACTTTCCTAAAATGGGCAGAATAATGAAAATCTGTTGGCACTCAAGAGCTACTCACGCTTACATTTTAAAACAACTCGTAAAGTGAATTTTGTAAGACAAAAGATTTTACAATTATTTGTACAGAACATTGAAGGCTACTCATGGTTTATGCAGATTTAATCAGTGATTCTAATTCTGGTTGTTGGGTTTTTTTTTTTCCCCTCTGACTGGGCCTCTTCTCACCTAGGTAGATTGCTCTTCCTGGTTTTCTTTAGATATATCAGGATCACTACTACCATCATGACCTGAACGTTCCTCCTTGTCTAAAGACATCCTACTCCAGACTACTAAAAGCATCCTCAAATTTTTAAGATTTATTTTATTTTATTTTATTATGTGTGTATGTGTTTTGTCTGCATGTCATGCAGTGTCTGCAGAGGTCCAAAGGAGGCAGCAGCTCTCCTGGGCCTGGAGTTACAAGCTGTTGGGAGTTGCCATGTGGGTGCTGGGAATCAAACCTCTGGAAGAGGAGCCAGTGCTCTTAACCACTGAGCCACCTCTCCAGCCCCAAAGTTATTTATTAAAGATTTTCTTACTGGGCATAGTAGCACATGCTTGTAGTCTCAGAATTTGGAAGGCTGAGACAGGAAGACCTCTCTCTAAGTTTGAGGCTAGCTTGAGTTACAAAGACTCTGTCCCAAAAAATGAGCAAGCAAAGATTTTTCCACCTCGGCCAACAGTGGTCTCTTAAGTTTCTTAAGCTATTTTTCAAGTTTTTGTTTCAGGCAGTAAATGTACAGGCAAACATTGATTGTTTCAGAATAGAGCGTCACTGCTTGATTATGAGTCCGTTTTGTTTTATGCCCGTCTGTTCAGCTGTCAAAATATGGAGGCTCTACTGTGTGCAGGAACTTCAAGCTCAACAAGTCACTGAGCTGTGTTCTTAGAACTTGGCTGTGTTTTAGGGTATGTTCACCTCTGTCCCAAGGAACAGTGTGAGTAGGTGTGGGGGCAGATGTGGAGAAGGGGCTCTCTGGCGTTAGGGAGAGGCCATATACCACATAATGTTTCTAGAGATACATAGTGTTCATTAACCCATGGAGGAGTTCAGAAATCTCACAGTAAAGCATTTCTGTCTTAACATTTTCCAAATTTAATTAAATACCAAGTACCGTGTTCTAGGAAACTGTAATAAAGCACTGATGTTATTAACACAGATTGAGAACTGCTGTATTTTTCTAGTGAACCCTCAACACTCGTTCAATTTAATTAGACAAATTATTAGGTAAATCAGTTGGATTTTGCCAATACTTTATTTCATGTAGCCAATACTTGTTAATTTGGGCCTTACTCGGTAACTTTTAAAATATAAATAGAACAGAATAGAAAAAGATTGAATTAAGTACAATCTTTTGTCTCTTTTTTTTCTTTAGTTAAAGCTGTAATGATGATTAGTGAGAAAAAGAAGCCATGAATTTGAAGGAGAGTGGAGAAGGGTTTGGAGGGATGAAAGGGCTTGGAAAGCAAACATTCTAATTCCTATCATTTAATATGTTTTTGTTACTGCTTTCTAAAAGTAAGCAAGTACTTTTATTGAAATACAAATTCAGGGGCCTGAAGAGATGGCTCAGTTCACTGACTACTCTTCCTGAGGACCTAGGTTCAGTTTCCAGCATTCACATGGTAGCTCACAACCACTTTTAACTTCAGTTCTGGGGGATCAGAGGCCCCCTTCTGACCAGGGTAGGCACTATATGAATAAGTGTGCAGACATATATTCATGCAAAACACACATACACGGGCACATACACATGCACAGACACATGAACTGCACATTTGAATATATTCAAATTATGTCTACATCTCTGAGATTTTATAAATGTAAGCATATTTTTGTTACCTTACCTGTATTAAGACATTCAAAACTTAGTCAATGTCCAAGAAACCTCCTTTGGATCTTTCCTAGGTCTTAGCCCATTCTACCTCCTTCAGAAGCCATCATTTTGATTTCTGTCACTGATTAATATTGCCTAATTATTATTAAATTATATATACACACACACATATCACCATTCCTTTTACCTATTTTTGAAGATTTTAAAAGTGAAAAGCCTCCATTGTCCTTTCTGTCAGTCTCTTTTGCTGCTCCCTAAATGTATGCTAATTGTGTCCAAATCTAATAATTAAAATGTTTATCTCATCTGCTATTTTAGTAAAGATACAATCACTAGAATTAATGCACACCCATACCCCTAATAGTTTTAAAAATAGCTACAATAATTATATTTGCTTTAGTTTTAAAAAATGATGATGCCTCCCCCAATACATGCTCAATTTTTTAAACTGTTAGCTAAGTAAATTTCATACTATGCTTATCAGGTCTTCATGCTTTAAAGTAATTGTATTCGTAGCATATGAAAATAGTTTTGTCTGTACAGTAACTTCTACAGGATGTCAAATAAGTTAAAATAGCACCGACTCTTCTGAAAGGTCATAGGTGTTTTGAATTTAGAAAGACTTCTTGGGGGCTGATTTTTCTTTTTAATGAGATCTTATATTTGAAACCATTTTAATGGTAGCTGTTAGAAATACGAGTTTAAACTATCATAGTTTGTGTTCTGTAATAAGGGAGAAAAACAGAAATGAGACAAGTTTGCCACTTGCATGTAATTAGTGGTTGAGTTTCAATAATTAGAATCTTTGTATCAAAATGAATATGTCAGAATCTGGTAGGACCAGAATTAAAATGTATGTGGTGTAATGTTAAAACTGAAGTCTGGCTTATTGGGAGCAAATTTGCTCTCACTAGTTATATATATA